TGCTGGGATTACAGGCATGTGCCACCATGCCCGGATAATTTTGTATTTTTAGTAGAGACAGGGTTTCTCCATGTTGGTCAGGCGGGTCTTGAACTCTCGACCTCAGGTGATCCACCCACCTCGTCTCCCAACGTGCTGGGACTACAAGCCTGAGCCACCGTGCCTGGCTATAAAACATTTTCATCACCCCAAAAAAAAATCCCACACTCTTCAGCTGGCATCCACCAGCCACTCCTCCCCACCCACCCCCAGTCCGATACCACTCTAACATATGATGCATCTCTCTCTTGTTTGCCGGTATGTCAGCATTTCATGCAATGTTTTTTTGTTGTTGTTGTTTTGTTTTGTTTTGTTTTGTTTTTTTGAGACAGAGTCTCACTCTGTTGCCCAGGCTGGAATGCAGTGGTGTGATGTTGGCTCACTGCAACCTCCGCCTACTGGGTTCAAGCAGTTCTCCTGTCTCAGCCTACTGAGTAGCAGGGATCACAGGTGCACGCCACCACACACCCAGCTAATTTTTGCATTTTTAGTAGACAAGGAGTTTCACCATGTTGGCCAGGCTGGTCTCAAACTCCTGACCTTGTGATCTATCTGCCTCGGCCTCCCAAAGTGCTGGGATTACATGCATGAGCCACCACACCTGGCCAGGAATCACAGTCTTATCTTATTGGGTTGTGGTGGAGGTGGGGGCAGCAGAGGGGGTAGTGGTGGAATGTGTCTGAGTTCCAAACAACTAACTTCAAATTGGAATCCTGGTGCACAGCTTGTTAGAAGTTGGAAATGCTTGCACTGCCCTAGTCTGCTATGCGTTTGATTTTCTAGACCCAGCTCCCACTAGCCCTCATCCCCTAGTCCTGAGCGTCCCTTAAACTGCCAGGTGGCTCAGGTGAGAGGCCCTGTAATTAAACCACATCCTTTGCCTCTTAAAAATAACATTGGAGACAGCATGGTTCAAGGCAGGGACAGAAGGAATATATAATTTAGCGTCCTTTGCCTGAGCCAGTATGAAATCGGTGCATGTGCAGTCTTGCGTGCTTCGGCTGTAAAGCGTGCTCTGTTGTCTCAGCAAGTGTGTAGGTAAGCTAAATATTCTAACAAGTTGGTCCAACCATGTCAGGCTCTTTGCATGTGCGTCCAGCATAGTCGATGAATAGACGTCCACGTGGAGGAAACTGGCTCAGCTAGTCCGTTCACAAAACCGACCAATCGTGGCCACCATCGCAAAACCTCACCAGTTGCCTGAACTGGAATCCCGGGCCCCGTCCTCGGTTCGCCTTGTTCTTCTGGGCCTCACGTCGACTGTGTGTGCTGCCGATCTCTCCAGCACCTCCGCCTCCTCCTCAGCACCCACAGCCACCGCCCAGTGCATCTCACTTGGATGAGAGCAATGATGTCTGAGTGGTCTCTTCCTCCCTGCCCCCTCCTGTGTTCCTTCCACCCTGACTGCTGCCCAGGTGATAAGGGTCACCCGGTACCACATGTCCTTGTGCCCTTCATGATCTAACCCCACTTGCTTGTCCAGCTGTGTCACCCACAGCTCCCACATATGTATCTGCATTCCCACCCGGCAGACTCTCACAGGTCCCCATGCCCCATGGTATGTTGTAGCCCCCGTTGGTGGGCTCTTAATCTAGACTTTAGGAGTGGAGGGAGCACAATCTGACATGTGAATAAGTGTCTTAAAACAGAGAGCATGGAGGCCAGGTGCGGGGGCTCACGCCTGTAATCCCAGCACTTTGGGAGGCCGAGGCAGGTGGATTACCTGAGGTCATGAGTTCGAAACCAGCCTGGCCAACATGGTGAAACCTCATCTCTACTAAAAATACAAAAATTAGCCATGCGTGATTACAGGTGGCGGGCACCTGCAATCCCAGATACTCAGGAGGCAGACATTCCAGCTATCTCTTGAACCTGGGAGGCAGAGGTTGCAGTGAGCTGACGTCACACCAGTGCACTCTAGCCTGGGCAACAGAGTGAGACCCCGTCTCCAAAAAATAAAAAAAGAATTTTATGAAATTCTTTCCTCCAGGCATTTGAATGTGTTTTTCCGTTTATATGCAATGTCTTACCCGTCCACCTGAGTGAAATGCTTTATAAGACTGCTCCAAGGTCACAACTTTACTTCCTGAGGTTCCCTTCCCCCTGTCCTCAAGGATTTAATTGCTTGTTAATTACATACCTGTTTCCCTCCTAGACCCTGAGCTCCTGGGAGTAGGAACTGTCTCTTCCTGCCCACCCCTGACCCTTAGCAGTGTCTAGTGCATGGATAGCCCTTAGTCAGTGCTTGCAGAAGGAAAAAGACCAGGAAGGGCACGCCAGACCATTCTTCTCTATGAAAGACCCACCAAGTGCTCCCTGCTGTATAGTAAATGGCTCTGTACTCCCAGATCTCTGCTCCTCCCTCATTTACCTTCACGAACTGGGCCCTTTTGTGTTTGTAAGGATTTCCTCTAAGAGGTTGAAGCCCAGTTGTCAAACATGTACTCGGACGAATCAGATTTCTCCTTGATACAGGAATTCACTAGATGTGTAATGCTTTGTAAATTACCCCTTGACAGATGTTGAGCTCTTTGTTTTTCTTTTCTTTCTTTCCTTCCCATTCAGATTGATGCACTGAGTAAAAGAAGCAAGGAAGCTGAAGCAGCTTTCTTGAATGTCTACAAAAGATTGATTGACGTCCCAGGTAAGCCCTGGCACTGATGGCCCACCAGTGGGGGGCTTTGTGTCTGGTGAGTTGGTGGGTTTTGGGCTCATTTTTAATGGCTTTCCTGAGGAAAATAAATAATACCATTAGTCGCAACTTCCCGCAGGAAACCAGGGAGTGCCTCACACGTGAATCCTCCAAGACCCAGTCTTTGGATATGGAAGGAAATTTGATGCACTTGTTGAAGGACTCATGTAATCTCTAGGGGATGATTTCATAAAAGCAGGGACCCAAATCTCTGGGGCTACAGCATAAAACGTTGCACGTACCACAGAGGAGATACAGATCCAACGCGTGTGTGCTGTGCAGAGGTCCCTTTTACTGTCCACTGCCACCTTCAGGACGTTAGGAATGGCCCTACCAAGACACCTGGAGTATCCCGCTCCCCCTGCCAGGTCATCCAAGATCAGTGGCCCCGGACAAGTCCTTCACTTAAGGGTTACGGGCAGAGGGTAACTTATAATCCCTGCAGCGACAACCAAGTATTTCAGTTGTTTCTTTTATTTTTTTTCTAAGTTTACTTATTTATTCATTTTTGAGACAGGGTCTCGCTCTGTCGCCCAGGCTGGAGTGCAGTGGTGCAATCTCTGTTCATGGCAACCTGCACCTCCCAGGCTCAAGCGATCCTCCCACATCAGCCTCCCAGGTAGCTGGGAGGCGCATGCCACCACACTCAGCTAATTTTTGTATTTTTTGTACAGATGAGGTCTCACTGTGTTGCCCAGGCTGGTCTCCAACCCCTGGGCTCAAGCGGTCCTCCCACTTCAGCCTCCTAAAGTGCTGTGGGATTATAGGTAGGAACCACTGCACCACCTTTAATCTTTTAAAGGGATTGAAGAATTAAAATTTAAATAGTGTTTGTGAGGCGTTCTGAGAGATGATGGCTTCCGATTCTCTATTCTGGAAAAGTGAAAATGCATGTTTCAAGTGCCTTGAGCTCTCTGGTCCTGTTTGTGGGTCCTAATTGCCTTAGCATCTCGAGTAAAGTGATGGATATAACCATGTGGGGCCCAGCTCAGCCCTAGGGAGATGCTGATCAGAAAATTAGGAAAGTCATTTGATGTGTTTCTCCACCAAGCAAGGAATTTGAATTACCACCACCCTCCCCTCCCCACCAATTACAGTTGTGCACTTGCCCTTGTTAGCAATTCTCTGAATATCATTGACGTCATCAGAGCTACATTAACAGAGCGAGGCAGACACAGGTCTCCTTTGTACCTGTATTTGGGTTCTGATTCAGGTCCACCATGGGCTTTGCTGTCCCCTCTTGGAACTGGGATTAAAAGTGGTCGCACCGGGACGACAGAAAACAGTTGGGACAGGGAGTGGGGAGATCCAGATTCTCCTTCCCTGGACTTGTTAAGAGTTCTTGATGGCATTCCTTTTCCTCTCTGGACTTCAGTGCTGTCATCTGTAAAATGGAACAGATGGAACAGGGTTGGGAACAGCCTAACTGTAGAGAATGGTTTGCTTTGATCTCAACTTTTACTGTCTTGGGAGCTTATCTAATTATTAGTTCCAAATTCTAGCCTTTGGTTTTCTGTGGGAGTTTGTATCTGACTAGGAGTTCCCTGAAGAATCTGACCGAGCCTCATGAGGAAGCTCCTTCGCAGTAAAATGGATCAGAGAGTAACCGCTGGAGGGTGTCCAGGTTCTTGGTGTTTTGAACAATGAATTGGGCAAAACACGCAAACCAAGGAAAGAATGAAGCAAGGAAAGCAGAGATTACTGAAAATGAAAGTACACGCCACAGGTTGGGAGTGGGCCGAGCACCTGCTCAAGGGCACAGATGCAGAATCTTGTCACCCCCTAGAGGTTACCCGTTGGCCAATTGGTATTTACCCCATGTAAATGAAGTGGTGGCCTCCAATCAGTCCAGTTGGTTGTAGAAAGCAACCAACCAGAGGCTGAAGGGAAGTTACAAAGGTCACACTCCTAGCAAACATCTTGATTGGTTGTGGAAAGTAACCAATCAGAGGCTAAAGTTAAGTTACAAAGTTGCACTTCTGTGCAAATGAAGCTTGGCTCTGCAGTCAGTCTGATTGGCTGCAGCCAGTCAGAGACTGAAGTTACAAAGTTACCCTCCTATGCAAACATCTGATTGGTTGTAGAAAGCAACCAATCAGAGGTACTTTCAATTTCCCATCTGCAGGGCAGAAAAGGGTGGGGGTTTGCAAAGGAAGTAGCTTCTGGTCCTTTTGTTACCTAGGCGTGGAAAGTGGGGGTTTTCTTTGGATTTATTTCAAGGAAGTCAGGGTGAATTGGCCTTCGGTTTTCTGCCTGCACTCCCTGTTCTCCTGCCTCAAGAGCACACTGACCCTCAGGCATCAACAGCCTGGCGGGTATCACTGGCATTTTCTTGTGTGTAAGGTAGTGGCTGAGAATTTTCTATCTGGACTATGTCATGTCCATGCTGACGCAGGCATAAAGAATTTACAAAAAAAGCGTGACCTGGGCTTTGAGAAATCTTATTTTGTGTTGCGAAAGAGTTCATTCTTTGACTTTTTGCTGCTTCCTCGGGCTCAAGAAGGTTCTGCTCCAGCCTATTTCCAGAAGTTCTTGCTACCACTTCTGGGAGCAGGGTCCCAAAAGTGAGTGTTTTCCAGCTGAGAATTTCGTCCAGTTGGTGACTTAGTCAATAGAAGACTGACCCACTTCATTTTTGCCAGAGACCCAAAGACTCTTTAGCAGCTGTTTTCAAAATAATCTGTAATCTTTTTTTTTTTCTTGCTGTCACACAGGCTGGAGTGCAGTGGCACAATCTCTCCTCACTACAGCATCCACCTCCCAGGTTCAAGAGGTTCTCCTGCCTCAGCCTCCCACATAGCAGGGATTACAGGTGCCTGCCACCACACCCAGCTAATTTTTGTATTTTAGAGAGATGGGGTTTCACCATGTTGGCCAGATTTGTCTCAAATGCCTGACCTCAAGTGATCCACCCGCCTTGGCACTCCAAAGTGCTGGGATTACAGGCATAAGCCACCGTGCCGGGCCTCACTGCAGTTTTCTAAATAACCTGTAATCTCTTTTCAAAAAGTGGAATTTGCACATCGGTTTTTCCCTAGTGAAATTTTTCAACTGCACAGCCACTTTAAAATGTTGCTTACGTTTCTTTCTCTGCAGTTATTTTCTGTGTTAATTTCCCAGAGAAAAAAAAGAGACCATTCTTCTCATCAGCGTTCCTCTTTATCTGAGTAGACCTTGTCCATGCACATGTACAGATTTTATAGAATTTTAATCATAGCATGTGTGTATATTCATATTCTGCCTTTCTTGCTTTATATTATGATTCTTATAACCCTGAGCATTTTCCTATATTGGTGATATTCTTCTGTTTTTATTTCTGGCCAGGGAATTGAAGTGTGCAGTTTAAATTGATGAATGGTGGGAGTAAAGAATGTTTGATATTTACTGTAATACTAAAAGTCAATCAAAATACATCTACATTCCAGGTAAAGAACTTTCACCCACCGCCTCCCAGGTATTTCTTACAAATGCTGTGACCTGCCAGATCTAACAAGTTACCTGCAAAGCAGGAATGGAGCTCAGAGCACTCTCCCTGTGTTTTGAAGTCTGATTATTGCTCAGAGGCAGTCATTCTGTGGCTGAGACTTACAGGAAGAGCCAGGTCAATAGCGATGATGCATTTACTGACAGTCACTCAGTTGCGGGGAGTCGGGGGGCCTTAACTGTCTGCATACTTCAGGCCGTAGTGCAGTGGAATCCAGAAACATTTGTAGGATGTGGTAAATTCTGCTAGTTGCAAGATACAGCAACTCACACTGTCACAGAAAAAGGGAGGCAGCCCTTGGGAATAATGCAACAGGCATTTCAGCTATGTGCCACGCAGCCCCACTCCTGGAGCACAGGGAGAGCCAGCAAGCTGGCCCCAGGAACGGCGGAGCCAGAGACCCACCCAGGCTAAGAGTGACAGACGCTTGACCGAACCAGCTCCCACCGCTGCCCCTTCCTGAAGTTTTATTTATTTGTGCATTTCCTTGTTGCTTAACTCTGGGTCTCCTTAGAGTGACAGCTCGCTGAGGACAGGGCTTTGCATTGTGACTCTCTGCCCAGCACCTGGCACACAACAGGTAGGAAGTGGTAAATGACTGAAGGAGTCAGTTGACCCAAATCCCCACCACTCCCTGAGTCCTCAGCCCCAGGGTTCACCAAGGGTTGCACTGGTGACTCTGAGAGCTTTCTCCCCGGTCCAGGTCTCACTTCTGAGTGCCAACCTGCATATGCAAGTGGCGCCTGGACTTTCCCGATAGCATGGTGTGGCGGGCACACTACACCCACCCAATGTGTCCGACAGAAGCTGTCTTCTTCCTGCATTTCTTCTTTTAGCAGATGGCATCACCTCCCACCTTGCTGCTCATGTTCTGATCTTTTTGTTTTTCTTGAGATGGGGTCTCGCTTTGTTGCCCAGGCTGGAGTGCAGTGGTGCAATCTCAGTACACTGCAACTTCCACCTCCTGGGTTCAAGTGATTCTCCTGCCTCAGCCTCCCAAGTAGCTGGGATTACAGCCTTGCACCACCAAGCCAGGCTAATTTTTGTATTTTTGATAGAGATGGGTTTTCACCATGTTGGCCAGGCTGGTCTCGAACTCCTGACCTCAGATGATCTGCCCACCTCAGCCTCCCAATATGCTGGAATTGCAGGCATGAACCACCACGCCTGGCCTGTGTTCTGAGCATTTTGTCACCAACTCTGGCCATCTGACCTCTAGGATGCGTCTCTATTCCAGCCACTGCCCTCCACCCCGCCTCCTGCCTTGCACTCTGCAGTTCATGTTGATATGAGTCTAAGCACTTGCAGGGCGACCAGACTCTTCCTGCCTAATCTCCACTGGCCCCTCTGGGTTAACCTGCTGAGATGTCACTTCCTGACAGAAAGGCCTTCCCAGCCGGTTTAGGGGACCCTTCCCGTGCACACACACCCTGCCCTGGGACCCTACCCTTCGCTCTATCATAATTCC